AAATAGATGCAGTAATAAGATATATCACAGGATTGTTAAGAGGATTGACAAATAATTTATAATTAAACAGATGCATAGATAATGAGGTTTGTAAAGTAGGGGTTAAGAGAACAGTCATTAGAGCCAAATGATTTGGGTACAAAATCCAGTTTAGCAACTTACTAGCTATGTTGACTTGAGCAAGTAGCTTACTTTCTTTGCCTTAGTTTCCCCATCTGTAAAATGAGGATAATTATGGTTTCTAACTCACAGGGTTTTGAAGATTAAATTAACATGTATAAAGTGCTTTCAGCAGCAATGGTATACAGTAAGCATTAAACCAGGGCTATCAATTTTCATTATTACTAAGTAAGGCTCTTAACTGGTGCTATTCCTACAGTAAGTGCTTAGGAAGTGCTAAGTATATTACTGTGCTACTACCAGTAACAATTATAGCTTCATTATTGAAGATGCTAGTATGTTAAGAATAAATGTCAAGAACTAAGGCAGGGACACTAGATTCTAGATGTTTCTGGCAATTGGAAATATATTAGAATCAGAAGGTGTCCTTATTCTGCTTTTGTTTACTTCAAAAGAGCATAATGAGGATTCTAAGGGGACTTTGAGCAATCAGGAAAAGAGTTTCTGAGCAGCAAATATCAAGCATTTCTTTTCAACCACATCAGCAACCTGTGCTGTCTATAAAAGAGAAATCATCTGTGGGCAACAAATATTTCACGATGGGTTTAATCTTTTACTAAGAGTGTGTTTTGGACATATCAGCACCTTAGGGTAATTTAGAACCTAATTTGAAGTTGTTATGATAGGTGCTCAGATGAATTTTTTCAGGGATGACATTTATGCAAAATCCTTAAGGACCGGAAGTCTGAATTTATTTTCAGCAAATTTTGATCAAATTTTTAGTTCATTGTGTGGCCAATAACAGCATCTGTAGTATAGCTTATATAGTTATAGTGTAGGATAGCTTGTATTTTATATAAAGATAGTATTTTTTTGACCTTTAGATAGGAAAAAAAATATCATACAGCATCAGAAAAAGTGGCTAATCTCATCCAGTGTTCTGGTAGACAAAGGCATAGTTTAAGTTGTCTGATTGATTCCAACCTGAATTAGCATACTTGCTGTCTCTATCGCTTCATCCCCATTCTTTCCTTAACCTTTCCAATCAGTACTTTATCCCCATCACTTCCATGAAATATCTCTTATCCATGACACCAATGGCCTACATTTTGCCAAATCTTCAGTGTTAATTCTCAGTACTCATGTCACTTGTCTTTCTATGCAGCTTTTGACATTGATCTTCTCTGGGCTTTTATGAACCCATGCATATTCTGTTTTTCTTTTTCAACTTACTGTTACTTCTCAGTCTAGATTACTGGCTACATCTCCTGCACAAACTCTAAATTTTGAAATGTCCCAAAAGTTTGGTCTAGGCTTCCTTGTCAACTTATGTTCCCTGACTAGGGGAGCTAATCCAAGCTCATGACTTCAAAGACCATCTGTATACTGATGACCTCTAAGTTCATAATCAGGTCCTGGCTTCTCTCCAGAGCTTGAATTTATATAAAATTCAACATCTACCCTTGAATGTCTCATAGGCATCTCACACTTAATATAACCTTTTCCTACCTACCATCCGCTTGACCTGTCAAACCTGTTCTTTTGATCTTTGCCATTCCAGTTAATGGCTTCATCCTCTACCTATTTGTTCAGCTCGAAAGAAAACCTATTTGTTGGACTCTTCCTTTTCTTCATATGACATATCTTATCCCTCAGTAAGTCTCATCACCTTAGTCTAAGACATAATATGTTTGCTAGAAGATGGCTCCCTCATTAACATGGCTCCCTAATTCATCTCCCTGCTTCAACTCTTTTGCTGTTCTTTCTCCATCACCTGATGTGATCTTTTTAAAACAGATCATATCCCTGCTCACCAGCCCCTCCCTGAGCTTCCCTTTGTAAATATTATTAATATATAATAAATTACATAACACATACAATATATGATCAAATACAATAAAACATGAACTTCTTACTATGGTCTCTTGGTACCTTTTTGAATTAAGTTTCTGCCACTCTTGCCTATGTTTCCTCACACACAGACATAATAGTTTTCCTTCTGTCTCCTGAGTGTCCTTGGCTCATCTTCCCCTCAGGGCCTTCTCTCTTCCCTCAGGTCTGGGAATGACTGGTACCTTGTCATAGACTGAATTTTTATGTCTCTCCAAATTCATACATTGAACCCTAATCCCCAGTGTGGTGGTATTTGGAAGTGCAGCCTTTAGGAAGCAGTTAGGTCATGATGAAGGACCCCTCATGGATGGTATTAATGCCTTTAAAAGGTAACCCACAGAGCACGCTGGGAACCAGAAAGTGGACTCTCACCAGATACTTAATCTGCTAGCACTTTGACCTGGGACTTCCCAGCCTCCAGAAGAGAGAAATTTCTGTTGATTATAAGCCACCTAGCCTGTGGTATTCTGTTTTAGCAGCCTGAATGGTATAAGACACCTTCTCATCATTATCCTCCCCAAAACACCTTCCCTTGATACTCTAGCTAACACTGTCCACCTGCTGCCCACCCTGCAGTAATCCCTATCCCATTACCCTGTTTTATTTCACAGCATTGATTACCATCTGCCTTGGTCTTATTTTTAGATTTTATTTTACATTTTTCTTATCTGTTACCCTCTCCTATAGAGTTTGAGCTCTAACAGGACTTGATCTGTCTTGTTCATACTTCCTTTGTCTAGAATAGCATGTGCTCCTTCTTAGGTACTACGAATCTTTATTGAATAAATGAATGAATGTTAGGAGGTTGGATAGATAGCCCACTACAATGTACTACTTTTCACTTACAGCTAGGGATCTGAAGAGAGTACATTTTTTTACATAGATAAATTTCTCAAGGTTTGAAAGCATATTTCTTCTGGTTTGAAGTACTTAATTTACATTTCAGATATGTGTTTTGTTTTTTTACTTTCTGTGGCTGATAGCAATATAATTTTTATATATTATTACAATATACCTTATGGACTGTGAAGCCCATTTAAGTATGTTTTGTACTTTCAAAAACTGTTTTATCTCTGTGTTTACTTTAACATAATGGATCCAGTGATCTGAGAACAAGTTGTTACATGAGGTTACGTTGATTTACATATTTCAGCCCCTGCTTTGGGAAAAAGAAGAAAATAGACCCATTTAAGATAACTTAAGTTGCCCAAAGGTAGAAAGCTTTAGTACCCAATTCTAATCTGCTAATTTAGACTCACTAAAAGGGAATAATTTTTTTGGCACCGTTCTGTGTCATTAAATTTATTCATTTGTACATTGGTAAGTAGATACCTAAGTGTCACTGTGTCTAAACATACAAACATGACACAAAACCTCTGCTCTTAAGAGATTTTTGCATTATATTCATATTTTCTATATGGGACAAATTTATGGATGTACAAATATATTAAAGTACAATATAGTGTTTCAGTAAATGTAAATTTTTCAGTAAATGTGGATATTTCAGTAAATTTCAGAATTTTCTGGAAAAGTTCTATCACATTTGTAAATGATCTTTGTATATGACAAAATAATTTTGAACCAAGAGAGGATTCTTAAATGTATTTACTGTTTTATCACTTCTGGAAGAAGCCAGAGATTATCAGAGCTAAATCCCAAAACTAGTCTGAAAATGTAATAATATTAGATTTATAACAGTTAGATAGGAAACCTTTGGGATAAAGGACCACTGAATTGGGAATTAGGAAATTTGGATAGTAATCTTTGTTACTAAGTAGTTGTGCTACCTTAGGAAAATTATTTGAACTGAGGCTTCAGTTTCCTAATGTCTGAAAATAAAGGCTAGATGTATCCATTCCAGCTGCAGAATATGCCAATGTCAAACTTCCCTTTATGGATAGCTTTTCAGGATAATACTGAGATTCATCTCTTATTATTCATTAAAGAGCAGAGATTGGAATTGGAAAATGGAAGTCATTTCTGGTCTCTAAAAGTGATTTGGCAGCAGACTTCTTATCCACTGAAAGGGTTAAAACACATTTTGGTTTTAGAATTATATGTATGTATGGGAGAAAGAAGAGTAGAATTTAGATAGGCTCACACTTGTCAAAAATGATAAAAGAATGAATGCACACATACAGCAATCATTGATTCATATTGGCAAGTGTTAGAGTTAAAAATAAAGTGCTTTATGATGGCTCGGGAACAGCTGGAGATAATGCGTCAATTGCCTTGTTTTGTTGGGAGGCTGCGAAGCCTTGTGCACTGGTATATCACAGACTACAAAGAACCAGATGACTGTCATTTTGCCCCAGTGCCTCTCCATTGCTTGGAATTAAAAAAAGGTTGCAAACCAGACAGATCTCGTAACTGGCAAAGTTCCTTTGACTACTCACCTTAGGGTAATCAGATTCAGAGCAGGGCTAACTCTTTGCATGGTAAATACGATTAACTACTGGGATATCTAATTACTGATTTAAGAATGTAAATACATTTTATTGTCTCTGTGGGTATGTGGATAAATGAATATAATGAATGGGTCGTTTTCACACATTACGTAGTAACATATACTCTAGCAAGGGATTAAAGTGCAATTCTCACAATTCCTGGCCCCAAATCCATCTTGATTTTACCTCCTGGAGATTTTTTTTTAACTGCTAATAAGCTAAGTGCTTAGATCTGTCTAGGAGATTTTTAGCTGTTCCTTACCTTAACTTTCAGAAAAAGAAATGCTGGCTGCTTATGGCATAGAATACTTTCTCTGTGTTTTGTTTTACTAATGTTCACATTTTTAGGACCCCTTCTGCTCTTTTCCATGAAACTTTTATAATTTCTGTGTTACTGTTTTTTAAAAAATAACTGCATAATTGTATCAGCATTAGTGAAACTAGGTTCTCAAAAGTCAAGGTTTTAATCACAGAAATATATGAAATGTCAAACTCGCCTCTTTAAAAGAGGATTTCGTAACAAGCACTCAGGATACTTACATCAACAATCAGGAAATCAAGCCAGCACCAAGCATTAGTGAAATATGTTTGAAATCCATAAGCTACCCATTTGAGAAGCATTTCCAGAATGAATATATAAGTGAAGACCTTGTCAGCATATTCTAGCATGGTTTTGATAGTCTTTCGCTGTTCAATATATATATCTTCAAAAGCCTGTGAATCAAGAATAATTTTATTTTACTTGAATGGCTTTCCTCCCCCAAATACTTGATAAAATGTTTAGTATATATTGGGCACAAAGCAATAATTTGACAATTATTGGCTAATAACATAAACACTGGACGTGACACAAAAATCTAAAGACTAAACTAACAAAATGCTGGCCAGGAAATGTCAGTCTCTACTGATTTAGTACACGCTTTCTTCTTTGCCTGCCACTCCAAAACCTCCAGCTCAATTACTGCTACAAAGACATGTTTTTAGAGAATATGAACTCAGAAAGTAACTAGAAGTTATAGTAATGATTCCCTGAATGATCTCCCTTATTTTGAAAGAATTGATTAGACCTAAAGAAAACAAAGGACACTTTAAGTCCACAAATGATTATTATGGACATATAAATGATTAATATGATTATTAGAACTGGATGGTATTTAACATGGAAGGTAACAAAGTTATGGAATGTCTCTGTAAATGGTCATCTCAGTGAGGAAAACATCTGTTAGATAAAGACCAGCTGAGAGATTTCATCTGGCTGTTCGTGGTTCTGATGAATTATGTACTCAATTTGGCGTAGTTAAACCCTGCGTGCTCTGCGCTGCATGGCACAGATATACCTCCTCTTTGGCTTCCTAAGCTCAGTGTATGCTTGTGTTATTTTCAGAGAATAAGCTATTTTACTAGAACCTGATTCATGCCAACCTGAATTTCACTTACCAGAGCACCACTACTGAGAAGGATCATGAAGACAATGAAAGTCTCAAACCAGTTGTGTTCAACAATACTGTAGCAGGTTTTCCGAAGATTCCACCAGGTCTTTCCTTTACCTTCTTCTATACTTACTTGACAGAATGGAAACTTTTTGATACATCCTAAAAGATAACGTTAAATGTAATAAATTAGAAAAATAAATTTTAATCATAAATAGGAAAGAAATCGTGTTGCTCTCTCTCCGTCCCAGTCTCAGACTGTCACTTTAAAGGCTAAGTATCTGGCTACTTCATTCCCTAGTTGTCTTCAGCATCCCTTTTGTATAATGAATCATTCTCAGGCTTATATATTCAGCTAGCTACCTGGAATTCAAGGAATTCGTTTACCAAGAGTTGCTTGAGTATAAATGATTTCATTCTTTAACACTAGTTAGGATCTCTCTTTGCCTCAAGGCCACTGAAAGAAATAGGGTCCGAAGACACCTTCAAGTTTAGGAGAAACTACCTGCTTAGATTGTTTATTCATTTTTTGATGTGATCCTGGGATTTTACTCCTTTTCATGCACAGAAAACCTCCTAGGTATCAGCCGCTATCAGTTTTCCCAAGCTAATTTATTTTCAGCTTCAGTGCTTTTCTTAGTCACACCTATGACTCATCTTGTCAGTCAGTATCTCTGTTCCAGTGTCCTCCCCCTCTTAGTTTTCATGTTATTTCTAACTTCCATCCACTCTTCTGCTCTAACTCTCTGAACTACTTACTACACATCAGATGCAGTCCAATCAAACTGAATCGGCAAATCTTTATTAATTTGTGTGCAACACACTGCAGTGGTCACTGTGAGAACAACTACTCTTCCTCCTATCAAGGCTTCACAGTGTCAGCTTCCCCAAACAGCTCTGGTCACTGTGCGAATTAGCTACATTTGAAACTGTAATGGATGGGGTGTAATTATTGCATCAACATCAGTCAAATCACAACATTGCCAGTAAAATCTAAAGGGACTGCTGTATCAATGAGATGGCATTCCAGAGTTCTATTTATCTCATAGGATTAGCTTCTCCACATTCTAGAGCATGAAAAAAAGACATGTCACATCATCCTAATGTCCAGGCTGCTGTAGTATGGATCTGCAAGTATAGATAAATTAACTTTTTGGAAGAAAAGAGGGAAACAAAGATAACCATGTCTTCACCATTTCTTTGAAATATTTCCTTCAACTGAAGCATATTCAGTCTATGTAAAGAAAGATGGGAGACTGCATTTAGTCATATTAGAGCTTGTTTACCTTCAGTAAAACAAGCTTCTGGCTTAAGGTCCTCCTCGGGTTCCATTTCGGCTTGTTCACCTTCTCGGGGTGGAGCAATGTCAACTGTGCTTCCTTCAGATGAGCTGGTTGCATTTAATTTCTGAAAACCAAACCCCATTGCAAAGATGTGATTTTTCTCTCCTTGTATTCAGCTAATTTGGAAACACTCTGTCATAGTATGAAAAATGATAGTGATGGCATATGACTCTATTTAAACATTACTGATAATTATATACTAATAATTTAGCATAGTTAAAGTCTTGCTGTAATGTGACTACTAACCTAATTCAGACAAAAAAGGCTAGAAAGCATTTATTGTGGGTGATTTGGAAAGGATGGATTATACTGATTAACTTGTTTTATAATCTCCATTTGTTAATGGATGCCATATGAAAATCATTTAATACATGCATACTCAAGCCAAATCAAGACTCGTTTGATCAAAGTTTGGTATGCTGATATCCACTACTGATTATATTAATAAAAATGCATCAAATCTAATTGTAATTTCCACCTCTTCCGATGGAAATTTTCAGAGGGCAAAGAACATTACCAGTAGTTTCTAACTACTGTCCATGTTTCTGTAATTTTAGAGAGGAAGAACGGCACATTAACATTAGTCACAGTCATTATATTTCAACTTTGAGCTATATTTTTCTCTGACTTACATAATTTTCTCACTTTACTAGCAGAAAAATGATGGATCTCTTTCTCTCTCCTCTCTTTGCTCTCTTCCTCTCTCTTTGAGCTGTTTAAATGAATTCAATACTTGCCAAAGAATTCTAAATGAAGTGAAAATTTCTTCAGAAGTGATGTAGTCTAGAATCTGCATAGACTTTCATTAAGAGCATGGTCTGAGTTCAACATTTGATCAGGCTGGGAATTTTTCCTTGAAATAAATCAATGTGATATGCTGCATGGCTAGAAAGAGCCACTTTACTGTCACAAGAATTAATACCTAATAAATACTCTGAGACCACTTGAGAAGACTTTTGGATGTCCAACGTTTTATGGAAACTGATGCAAAGACATGACATACAACACAACGTAGGCAATGTAATGTAAGCTTTTAGAATGAAAGAAACAGCTCATGGATATGTTAATGGCTTCAAAGCCTCCATTGACTTTAGTAGCTAAGGGGTAGGGTCACTCTGCCGTCGCTTTCAGAAAGAGTTAATGTTTTATTGAAAAATACCTAATGACCCTCTAAACATAGGTCATACTGGACGAAATTTGGCTGAGAATACTTGATTTATTGAAATCATAACAAAAATATAGTTTAGTATTTTACAGTGTGAACTAATTGAAAACCAATATCAAGGTGGTACTTCCTGTGGTGTTAATTTGAGGGTGAGGTTAATTTAACCATGTCCAACTAAATACATTATGCAATTACTTTAACTCAAAATATAATTCTATGATTAAATACCTCCTAGTATGGAGTATGCCGAAGAGAGAAGTTAGGCTCTCCTTTTTGGCTGATGGTTCTTAGAATCATTATAGCACAAGAATATTTATCTTTAAATTTCCCTACTTTTTGGAGAAGTGGAAGGCCAAGACTATTTTCTTCTCCCAGGATTTTTCTGCTTGTTACAGCCACAATATCTTAATTCTTTAAAGAAAATCTCACGAAAGCTACCTCTGAATAGAACTGCAGCAGCTTCTGATATAATGAAGAAAGTACTGGATAATTGTTTGGACTCAGCAACTAACTCTTCCTTGCTATTTCACTTGTGGTTTAGGGGTTGGACATACGGTGTTTGATGACAGGCAGCAGTAATACCCATTGCATAAATAAAACCAGGAAGAAACCTAATTATTTTGAGATTAGTTATAAAAAGTTTCCTGTTTCGTCTTTCACTTGGCCAGTCCAAGCTCAGTAATTTCTTCTGAGCCTGGTCATGGTCCTCCTCCACAAAGTCTTTCTTGCATGATTTCACCACACTGAATTTCATAGCATGCTTAGTCCATTACTTGTTTGCTTTGATCAAGTATCTGTTTTTTAAATTGAAGTGTCATTGATATACATTTTTATATTGGTTTCAATGTCAAATATCTTTATAAATATATGTATATATAATGTATATAAAACATATATGTACAAATACATATTTATGTACATATATACCAAAAATACACACACACACACACACACATACATATATACCAAAAGATCCAAGCACAGAATAGACACTAAATAGTTATGCTGAGTTTATAAAGAGTGAATAAATGAACGGTTGAATGCATCTTTGTATTAGTTTTTATAGAGAGAACTATTGTGGTTAGATGATTTCATCTACTTTGATATATAACTTAATCATGTCTTGACAGAAGTCTATTTAATTGTATTAGAAAATGCATTTTTCTTTATTGATAGGAATTTTTTATAAATAATATTTTAGCGATTAAAAACACATGTATTTCCAAACTGTTTCCATAAAATATTGGCAGACATTCAATAAAGAAATCTGAGGGAAGAAAGTAGTAAGTATATATGTATGTACATACAAACACACACATACTTTTCCATTTGAAAATTTTAGAGAATATACTCACCCTTCACTTCTCATTTTACCACTGTTAATTGTGAGACATTCAGTTTTTCACATTATAATTGTCTGCCATACACTCTACAGGTGTGTTATATTTAAATACAATTATTAATTGATGGCAGACCCTTCACAGGCACAAGTAATAGCAGCCACTAATCTGAATGACAGTTGAATCCACTGTTTATCAACTATTGACCTCTGGATGTATTTTTGCTATTGGTGCTATCTTTAGATTGTTAACGTCTGTGAATGTGGTTAACATGTTTGAATATAAATAATTTAAATTTCCTGAATGGTTGTGGAGGTTATGCATTCATACATTATAAAGTAGGGAGCCTCAGTAGTGAGTGAGTTTACCTCTATCTGCCTGGCATTATGATGCAGAACGTGTTTTAAAATCAGAAACCCTGTTTTCAGGGAAGAAACTGCATATATTCTGCTCTTCTCAAACAGGCAGAACCCCTATGGGTTTCACTGTTATCCAGGAGTTTTTCTGATTATAAAATAAGCTCTTTAAACTTAAGTTTTCCAAAGTTCCTTAAGGACTGTTTAGACAGAAACTTGTAGACCCTCATGCACCAAAGTTTGTGATAGTTAGTAGGCTAGTGTTCACTTTACTAAATATTGTTTTGTGAGAGGTTTCTTTCCCTGTGGAGGTTGATATAAAGTCAACTTTTCCTAACTCGGGGGATTAGGCTTATTCATGTTATAATCCTCATAGGTCACATTTTTGTCATAGGAAATTACATATATTTTATTCTGTGAAATTACAGAGATATTGAATCATGTATGTAAAATTTCAAAAGTTGTAATTTCACCTTCTTTTATAAATTAAAATTTAGACTATGTTCTTACTTAGTTACAATTTATCAATAATGACATGCTTTAGTCAAGGTATACATAAAGAATTTTACTGTTCTATTTTTAAATCATTATCTGTACTCCAGAAAATTACTTAAGCATTTAAAATTCTATGCACTGATACAATACTATCTACATAATCTAAACTTTTTCTCATTAAGTTCAACACTGTGGCATTCTGATAAAAGGGTAGTTTGTGATACATTTTATCATAGCTATAACAAAATGACTTCCAAATTTATTTAAAGGCATGTAACTGATTTAAAAGCAAGTGACTGGTGACAAATATGAAGAATAACTTACTTTCTTTATATTGCCATTGCTGTGATACTACAGTGATATAAAAAAAAAAAGCAAAGACACCTGAAATGAAATTTTCCATATGATGGAATGCAATGACTCTACTAAATAAATAAATTAATACTAGTTCAGAAGTTATTAGAAAAATATAAGTAGGTATATAGGCATAACAATAGAAAGCTTCCATAAAACCATATAGTACAAGTTGAAACTTGTTTTCTTGTACTATTTCCTCCCTATTCCTTTAATATTTTATGGCACTTAAGGTTAGATTCTTCCATCCCTTGTAGAAACTGCTGAGTCTACAGAGGGATGATGGCTCACGCTCTACAGACGCACACTGGAAAGCAGGTTTTAAGAGGCAACATTCTCCAGGCCTAATTCAGCCGCAGAAAACATGCGTGGCTGTAGCGGAAGCCTGGCGCAATGCTGTGGAAGCCGCACGCGGGTCCAAGAACCATGTTCTCAAAGACATGGTACCTGAATATGAAGTTCCCAAGGAGGTTATCTGCAAATAACACTCATAAGAACTGACAGAATCAGCACCCAAACAGGCCATGAGACCATTTTCCCCCCATAATGACATGAACATATATAGAAATTCCCCCTTATGGTGAATATTGCTCTTGATTTTTTTTATCCAATTAAATAATGAAGTAGAACTTTCAGAGATAGGAGAGAATGTCAGCAACTGGCCTACTTCCACTGAAATGCGCTCACATTTCATTTATTTTCAATCAGCTATCAAATGTTTGAATCTCACAAACTGCTGTATGATTCAAGAGTCAAAAATAAAAGATTCAGCCATTACAGATTGCCTTTAAAATCTAGCCATTTCTCTCAAAACTTCTGGGCCTTGTCTTAAAAGTAGAAGAAGAAAATATTTTGGTCACGCGTCCCATCAGGGCCTTAGTCTGAACTTTTGGATATACATATCCATATCTTGACTTACATTTTGCTTGAGGAGCAGATAGTCCTACCGTGAGGCCACGGGGCTGCTTGTCCAAGGCAGGAAGAATTAGACTAAACATAAAACTACAATAGCTCTTTTTTTCTGGACCACCTATTGCTTGGTTAAAAATGTAAAGCACAGGTATGTGGGTTTTGTCTTGACATATTTTAAATGTGCAACAGCCCTGGTGCTCCTTAATGTTGAAACTGCCTTAATAAGAACATGATATTTGAAAGTGAAAATAATTATATGGTAGTTGAAGAGTAAGGTAAAAGGGCACGAAGAGGACATGAAGAAGAAAAAGTCGGTGCGTTTTGAGGAGGTACAGAGAATCGCCACGCGAAGCAGCCTTAGCTGGGCCCCATTTCAGAGGAGCACTGCGGCACCAAGCCAGCTCTTAAAGGTTGGGGCTGGTTTGCAATGGCTGTTCGCACA